CCCCCCACCCTCCAATTAATGAGCAGGTACGACCCCCTCCCCTTTCACAACGTCCGTGAAGCGAGAAAAAGCAACTGTCGTAATAAATTCTTCTCGGCCCAAATACGGTCCCCCACCTCCTGGCGGCCAAATACGACCTCCCCCTGTTGGGGATTCCCCAACAACGATGTGCCCTGATATTGGAGGATCCCTGAAGAAAGCTCGATACGGGTCTACTCCTGCGGGGAACTTTTGCTGAACACGAACCTTTCAATTTTCTGGTTCAGTGGTATTGTGCCACCGACTCAAAAGAGGGATATATAATGCGTCTGAAACGGGAAAATCACCATCAGAAAACATCTAGAGAGCGGGTACGAACCCCTCCTGAGCGACTAAATACGACCCCGTTGTGTTTGTACAACCATGATGTGCCCTGATCTAATCCCTTCCGGTTCTTGATCTGTTGCCTCCCATCTAAAAGCCTTCAAATACGACTTCAATGACGTGCCCAAAGTAACCTCGCGCGACTCCGGTTGCCAAATAATGCAAGCCAAGGAATGTATCAGCGCAACGATGGTGCAGTTTTCCTAGCTATAAGAGAATTAGCATCTCATCAGGACAGTCTGTGAATGATCGCAAGTCTAGGTGTTTCTTTGTAGTCTGTTTCAAATGATCTTGCCGAATTCATTATCCTCAACGACGAGTATTCGATTAAAATGCAGTGCGCTTTAGATTTTCTATTGAATAGTCTCTGAATCTGCATGCTTATACTATTCGTTGTTCTTTCTTGATGTTTATTGAATATTAGGAATAAACGTTTATGTCTTTATGTTGTGGCGTTTCATTCAACGAAGAATTGATCATAGTTCCATTTGATATGTGTTGGTGATGATCATCAATATTTATCACTTCGGCCGATTGTCCGACTGGTTGATGTGCAGCAGTTTGCGGTATCTGCGGTGCGGGATGTTGTTCGGCAATCGCCCGTAATTCTTTTCGTACACGCTAAATATAGAAAAAAATTAAAAGATTTTCCCTAAATGCAGCATCTAGAATCTAATCAATTTATTGGGTAAATTAGAAGTGGTGTAGTGAGACATGACATTTAAAAACTGATCAGGGAACATGCACCCCTCAATCATGGTCAATCATGCGTTACGGAGTCCGCACTGCGAGGTGGGGACTGGGGACGTGCAGGGTTTTGTGGCAGGAGTTGGGAGAGATTGATCCTCTCGGGCAAGCATATCGTTTAACTCGCTGCGGACGAAGGGGCGTGTCAGGCGGGATGAGTTTGGCGCGGTGAAACGGCATTAGCCTGGTAAACCCCTGCTCTACCAGGCTAATGCCGTTTGGACGCGCTCTTTTATGGCTGCTGGCTCATTTATGAAGTCTAGATCATTAAACCCACTGAAAACTTGTATACAGGAGTTATTCAACATCCTGATTATAAGTATGGCAGTCGTTCTTGGCGCTAGCGGTAATGGAGGACATTACGATTATCTTTAAGGTTCAGCCTTAGCAGAGTGCAGATAATCGTAGTGTCCTCCATTAGCGCCAGCGCCAAGAATGAATGTCATATTCGTAATCAGGATGTTAAATCACCCATTAAAGACAGCCCCCGCGCTCGAGTAGTACATGGTCGTCCTTCCTTGTGCAAGTAGTACAGCCCCCAAGCTAGAGACTGTCCCACTCTATTCG